GTACCAGATCTTCGCCCCATACGCATACCAGAACGCACCGAAAGCAGCACCACCGAGATGGGCGAAGTGGTCAAACAGCCTAATCAACAGCAGGTCAGGTGTGCAAGGGATATGGTTGGAGGCCTTCACTCACCTCCAGCCTCTTAGTACACCGAGCAGATCAAGGGCCAACAGTGCACCAACGGCAGTTTGAATGTTTATGGGATACCACGGAGGAATCACCAACGTGACCTCTGCGTCGGGGAAGCCCAGCGCAGAGATAACGACCATGGCATAGATGGCGCCAGACGATCCTAGAGAGTGAGGCGCCTCGCGCGAAGCGGCCGATGCAGCGGATAAAGCAGTCTCAGAGGCCGCCGTTGAAGCAGACGCGGATGCCGAGGCTGATGCAGCGGAATGGGGAGCGGCAGAAGGGCCGGAGCGGAGGCTGCTTGAAGGGCCCTCAGACTTCAGCCTTGCGATTAGCCTAGGATACCGCCAACGGACGTATCCGATGTGCGATACGAGGCTGGCGAACAGGCCCGCTGAGACGGGAACATATTAGATGGGGTATGATGCTATAGGGAGGGGTATGTGGGCAAACCTGAGATGAACAGTGCAAGTAAGTGCCACTTCGGTGTAGGTTCTGAGAGGAGACCCTTCTCTCCCTCAACCTTCTTGTGAAGTAGCATGAGTTGTTGGCTAGCGGCCCCACCTACGAGAGACGTAGTCAATACTTGGAGCACCTTTTTTTTCAGGAAATGTCTCTTTAGCACGTACCGAAGCTGGCCAGCGCCATGCAGTTGAATGCTAGATGGAAGAAGTTCTCATGGCTGATAAAGCGTAGTGTCAGCATATCATTTCGTGGGGCCAACAGGGCTTATACCCACCTGAATGTGCTTGTCAGCATAGTGTAAGACTTTCCGGTTAGAGGATTGTGGCTGAAAGCGCGATACATGAACGCATTCCACCGAGGAACCCTCCAAGCTAGCCACACGGCGACATTTACGGCGCCGATTGCCCAGCACATACGCTTCCCCTCCGACGCGTTGAGGATGGGCTGGAATACTTGAACATATGACCATACGACCATCGCCTTCACGGTCTCAGGGAGTTGTTCCATGGAGGACTTGAGCGTGGCGAGTGCACCTTGTAGCCGCTTCCCAGCAAAGACGGTCATGAGCAGCTCTGAGCGTCCTTATGAAGCACTCACGCGACCAAACGCATTGTACTTTGCGCGCATCAGCTCCTCGGAGGTTGGTGGTCGGCTTCTGAGCAGTCCATCGTGAGGCTTAGATGCGATGTATGCCCACCACTTGGCTAGCTCGTAATTGGTTAGGTGGGCTCCTACAACGAGCGATCCTATAGTGCCAGCAATGACAAACTGGTATTTCGTGCAGGGTTAAACCGAGGGAAACACGTGAGATGTGGACCGTACTCACCAGGATTTGGTTGCGTATTGGCACATTGCGTACTGCGTCGGTGAAGGAGGGGAGTTTCTTTGCCTTCGCGACTTGTTCTCGGAGTGTTGGAGGCTTTGGTACGCTTGCTGTAAGTACACGAGGTAGCCGGTCATTGGGCGTAAATGAAAAGGAGCGTTGTGGTAGACGAGATGGCAGAGTCCATGCTCTGAGTGGGCGTAAGGTCCAAAGCATCGCCGGCTACGAGTTGTTGAGAAGCGCGCGTCCGTGCCGCCTTTTGAGTCTGACTTCGGATTTTGAACGTCTTGCTTCCTGCCTTCACGCCGAGCGCGTACGCACACTCAGCCGCAACCACACTCCGCTACTTCTGCACGCATACAAGCAGCATGTTCTTCTACATCTCCTTTCTCAGGCCCCCGGCGACCCAGTCATATCCCTCCGGCTCAATATCCATCACGCCGCAAGTTGCAAACGATCTCCGCACGGAGCCTTTCGATGGCGCGCAAGAGATCTACTACTCTTGGTCGCCCGTAAATCTCAATCGTGCCGAGGTGTACCCATCTATCACCGTCCCGCAGAAGCTCACTGTATGGCGACAAAGCAGCGCATACAAAGAGATTCCGGTCCCGCTACCTCAAGGCCTACGAGAGGGGCAGTCATATCGGCTGGTGCTCACGGCGCATGGTCAGGGGAGACCACATATTATCAACTTGGCAGCAAGTGACCTCGGCGTTCGACCATTCCCTGTCCTCTCTATGCCAATCCTGTTCAGTCCGCGTGGTAGGGCGGGAAAACAAGAGCAGATCGAGCGAGTGTACCGAATTCCTCTACAAGCTGGTGCTAACGGCTTCTTGACCGTGCGAGAGCAGACATCATTCGACTTGGATAAGGTACGTTTGAACAGTGGTATCCCCATCGGAGCGGCTCACGAATTCCGTAGATTTCATATAGAAAATCTGGGATAGTGGTATCGGGTTGAGTTCCTGGCTGGTACAATTAGCCCAAGAATCGGACCAAACAACATCGAACCATGCCCAAGCCTCCCTTGTTCGCGATGCTCTTTTCTCGACTGATAGTCGCAGAATAATCGAGCTAGGTGCGGCGTACCCCTGCAATTTGTCGTATACCGATGCTCACCCTTACGACGCTCCGGCATGGTAGGTGCAGGCACCGGCATCGTCTCTCTAACTATTGGTGCATTACGCTCAACAGCACCTGCCGATGAAGATGGGTGCATCATCACGACGGACCTTGGTAAGGATCAGTTGCTCCATTGAGATCGTGAGGCTGACTACGCGCAGAGTCGGCAATGCCTCTCCTGGAACACAACGTCTCTGCAAATGGATCCTTGTTCAACTCATCATCATCACGACCACGCCCTCTTGTCTTGGACTGGGATGATGAGGCGCTCCCGGGAGATGTAACCGCTGCCGGCAGAGGCTTTGACGTCATCGTCATGGCTGATGTGACATATAACACGGCGTCATTCCCCTCGCTGGTCCGGACACTCTCTTCACTGGTGCGCTTGAGTCCGTCCTCTAAGCCACCAGTGATTGTATTGGGATACAAAGAGCGGGATGCGGCGGAGAGAACGTTATGGAGCTTGGTGGAAGAGATCGGCGTCACACTCGAAAAGGTCGGTGAGCGTGCGGGCGCTGGAGGGCAGGTGGTAGAAGTATGGCTAGGGCGCTGCACAGAACATGTTTGAGGGTACAGACCGACCAAGCGCTGAGTGTGAGTACCATGGATATCAAATTCATTGGGCACTGCTAAGTTGGACGAAGTCTGCTCACTTTTAGGTCCACCTCTGCGCTGTTGTCTCCAAAAATCTGACAATGATGCGCGACGTACTGAATCGCTTGGTGCAATTTCAAACGCAGTCACTCCTATCTCATGCATACCGCCAGGAGCTCCGAGCTAGTCCGGCTCGTGAACACATTACGTTGGTGCCACGTCCAAGCACCAGCGACTGTGCATTGAGATGTGAGTTCCATGGTATCGTTGGTAGTAACCGACGAACGCCTTGTCTCACATTTGTCATGACTGCCATTGACCGGCCATGATCAAGGTTTGTTCTCGCCGTACACCATTGGCATTCTCCAGCGTTCGTTGTGGTCTCCGAACCTTGTCGGCCATCTTCCGTCTGTCTTAATCCGATCTCGACCACCTTGGCGCCGCCCCTCTTTCGTGAAGCCGTAGGTAGAGTGTGCATGGCCGCAATCTCCGTGATGTCAACCCGGATGCCATGCCAATCAGCAGCAGCAGGATCCCGAAGGTCGGATCCGGAGGTGTGCGGTGAACCCCGCATGATCGGGCTTTGGCCACGCTCCTCGAAGTACACGGGCAACAGTGCATGATCTCTGCAACATTCTGAACTATATGCGGGCCAGGTACACTCAGGAACGTGGAGAATACGGTCAGTGAGGTTGCATCTATATGGTCGTCCTGCGACATGTACTCATCAGCCGGCTTGGAGACCTCAGGTTCATCTGTACTACCGTAGCAGCTTGACGCCTAGACATTCAGCCTTGAGAGACTCTCGCAATGTCGCCGTGCCTCGCCATATACAAGATCTCACGGCACAAAGGCGATGATGGGCGCATTGCAGCAATTGGTCCTACGAGCGTGCCGCGGAAGCGGCAAGCAGTGTTTGCTATGTGCCCGCCGGTATCTACTCGTCACAATGTTTCAGGGACCTCGGCGTGGTCAACCGTTGGTCTCCTCGAGGCTTGATTGCATTGGCAGCGCTCATGTGTAAAGACTATATATACCGGGGTGTGTAACTCATATCCTCCAGGCCAACAGACCTTCAGCTCCACTTCCCGACAGCTCTTGGTCAACTGCCACTACACCACTCGCTCACTATGTTCGCCTCCACCTCCAAAGTCATCTCCACCCTGGCAGTCCTTGCCGCTGTCGCCGCACCCGCGCTCGCGGACTTCCACATCTTCAACGGCGCAAACGGCAGCGGCGGCTTCGCCGCGAAGACCGTCCCCTCGAACCAGTACTCCTGCAGCGGGTGGCAGAGCGCGCCCGTGATCGACGGCACGCCCGACGTCGACTCCGGCGTGTCCTTCTTCGACGTCCGGAACCTCTGCGGCGTCTCCCAGCTCAACTTCTACAACAACGGGAACGGGTTCGACGTCTACATCAACAACGGCGACGGGAGCAAGATCGGGACGTGCGGCCCAGGCAACGGCGGCTCCATTAACGGAAACCAACCGTGCTCGGACGGCTACGCTGTCTTCGACGAGTACATCTGCCTCACGTATGTCTGCAGCTGAAGGAGGTCAGTGATAGCTACACGATCGGATTTGTAGAGATTCAATGCTAACGTTGTATCCGATAGTACCACCATTTGTATGTTGTACCACGGATGTTCTATGTATCACTCGGAGAATTTGATGGCCCAAACCTTTTTGATCGACTTTGTGCACGTATTGCTCCCCTTTCGGCGTTCTGTTTGGGTCTACTAGTGACTGCTAGTGGAACGTGGACGTGTGTGTGTACCTTCGGGTTCGAGGTATGAGCACGATTAATCCGACGTCAGTTGCCGCCTTCGCGACTGCCCATGATGTAGTGCAAGGAGCCATAAACAAGTCTCTGTTAGTATATCGGTTAGTACACGCGCCTGTCATATCCAATTGACCGCGCGAAAGCGGGGTTCGACTCCCCGACAGAGAGTAATTTTTGGCCACCACAAACGAGTAGAACACTCGCTAACTTGTTACGGGAATCTGGATACTCTGTCAACGCAGATGGTTGCAGTGAATTTACACGGTACTTGATTATCCCTACTCATTATCCGCCCAACCGCCGAGCTCGATGGCGAAGGCCACAGCCAGCTTCGAGAACTCCAGCATATGGGGGAAGCTGAACTCGTCAGAAATGTCGTAAAGGCTGAGCAGAATGAACGGGTTGGCAGTCAGTATCCCCTCGGGGCACGTTGGAGAATACGGTTCCGGACTTACTCGAACTCTGTGTGGCCATATTCGCGGTTGTTCTCCATGAATTTCGACTCTGCGTCGGTGCGGACGCATAGGCGATATGTGATTAGCATAGAAATGTGTTGGCATCAGTAACGATAGTATGAATAAAGGCCCGGTGTCGGTTATACTCACCGAGCAAGTATATGCTGGGATATCCTGCTTTGCGCCACGATGCACTGGTAGAAGCGTGATTGAGACGAGATGAGCAGTACTGAGTGGGCTTGGGTAACTTACTGGTCGCTACATGCAAAGCCGCATGTCGTTTCCACCCAAGGAATGTCCAGGTAAAGCTCAATGAGCTTCTTGTTGTACGAGATCAGCCTGCGCCAACAGTGGAGAACCCATGCAGTCAGCAAAATCAACAGGAAACAGAGGGTATGAGGAGACCGACCCGGAGTCGACATCGTCCGTTACGATCCCGACACGCTCCTCGGTACCGCGCTTCACGAATGCCGTCATGTCGTACTAGATGTGGAAAGGATTGCACTTAGTTGCGCATGGGAAATATGCGAGGGTGAGAGGGCCAAACCTGGGTCATAGCGTAGACATTCACCCCGCGGGCTTCGTAGTCGTGTGCAATGGCCTGGGAGCCAAGGAGGCCTCCTTCCTGAAACACGAAAGGTTACAGTCGCTGGGACCAGCTTCGATTCCGGGTCAGTGGGTATGCATGCGCACCTCAGCAGAGTACCAGTGGAATTCGACGGTGCGCTCCGGCCGGAAGCCTGCAACGACCAACGCGCGGTAGGCCTCCAGAATGCTCATCGAGCCTGACCCGTCGTCATCGGCACCTAGCAAAATGCCCATCAATACGTTTATGCCAGCAATGCTTGCAGTGGAGCTCGACTTACCTGGTGCACGGAGGAAAGGAGACTTCTGGTTGATGCTAGGACAGCGTGAGTCGCCGAGGTGAAGTATATCGCCTAGTAGAATACTGACCTGTCCAGGTGGGCTCCAAGTATGACTACTCCGTCATCAGTGGTCGATGAGCCATTGATCCTGAGGATCTACATCGGTGGTATGTGAATACGCCAATGATCACACAAGCGGTGTGTATACTGACGATGCTACTCTGTGTCCACGAGTGCGTGAATTCTTCCACAGAGATAAACTCCTGGAGAGCCTCCGGGGCGTAGTTTCTAGTGATCTACACGGACGACGTGAGTGACGAACTCCTTCGGACATAGTTGATCCTCGCCTCTTTTATCTTTTCTAGCAGCCAGCGTTGACTCTGCTTGCCGGACTATGCAATGCATGTAAGGCTATGAAGCCTGCGCGCAAGAATCAAATTCGTACTAGGCTACGGTAATCTGGGATTTGCGTCAGCTCAAGCGGGATCGTTTGGCAAGAAACCGCCGCAGGATTGACTCACAGCGTGTCCAGAAGCTCGTGAACGTCTCCAAGTTATCACGAAGATTCTGTATCTCGAGGGTGTCGATGACAGAGCGAACAGCCTCCATATGCCTCGGAGCCGGGTACGCCGCTGGGACACCATGAGCTGAGATACAATGACCCATCTCTGCTCTCGAATTGGCCTACCTGTGCGAGTCGCCCTCACGCGTGCATGAGAGCCCAATCCTGGTGTTTCCGTTCTGGGCAGGGTGAGTACTCATAGGCGATTCCTCCGTCATAGCCTCCACCTACATGTCGAAGAATCGGACACCACGAGCCTTCGCCTGGAGCTAGTATCATATATGTAGCCAGATCATGAGGGCCGCATCATCTAGGGATGGGATGTTTACAATACCTTCTCGAGCTCAGTCATCACCACTGGTTCATCCTGGTCGTTCAGCTGGACCAGACGGGGCGCGGAGAGATCCACGTCGAAGCCGGGGTGGCTTCCCAGCAGGAAGTCGCCCAGTGCAGACTGCGAGCCGTCGTAGAACGAGGTCGCGGTAACTGCCGCTATGAGCGCGAGGAGAAAGATGGGAGCCTTCATCACTATGGTCAGGTTTACCGTGCCCTGTGTGATAGGGCCCTAGTACACCTCAAACTTGTCGCGCGTGGAAGTGAAAGCAGGAAGCAGCGTTCCGACCTGTGGTGGTTGTATTTAAGTAACGACGCCGCGGGATGAGTGATCTCGCAGCAGTACGTACCTGTTCCTGAGCTAGTACTTACTGCGCGGTGCGCACAACGTGATTCAGCGATCACGAGTCTTATACGTCGCATCTTATCTTCTAACCACCTCCCCCAGCAACTAGTGAAGTGTACACTTGAGAACGTAGGAAGCAAGCGGAGCGTTCCGGCGGTGGGCATGTACCAGCACTATGCGCTCAAAGTCGCCTCAGTACTGCTGCTCTTGCAATAATGCCAGCTGTCAGGTAAGTATCTGGTGGTTGCGGGAGACGGTCTCTCCAGGCCCTATCCAACCGGCTATGTCTGTAAAAGCGCCCTCATGATCTCACCTTTCGGGTATGTCGCCAGTACTTGTCCAGCGTGCAGATGCCTCCAGTGGCGGATGTTGCCGCCATTGTGTCTTCCATTGGGCCCTTGCACTGCTGCTTCCTGTGACGTAAACGACGCAGAACGACGCAGAACTAGCCCGGCGGTATTTCGAGTTCTCTGGGAAGAGCAAGTGAAGATCGAGTCCAGTTCCGTCCGGTACCGAAGAACGCGAGGGTATACGCGCATTAGTCGAATACACTCTCTAACGGGTACGATCTCCAGTGGTGGACATCGTCTGCGCTGTGTACAAGGGCAAAGCACGAAGTTAAGACAGATACCTTCGCCGTGTCACAAACGCGTTGATGCCAGTTACGACAGTGCACGTGACCGCGTTGCCAGAGTCTGTCACTCGTCATTCTAGGCTATTGACTCCGGGTTGATTGCTGAGGATGCCGTACGTGACTACTACGCAAATGTATAGCGTCCAAGGTGCTCGATGTATGTATGTAAAGGGGTACGTGTGTCGGCAGATAGTGGGGAGGTTAAATGTAGGTGGGTCGGTAGATGGATGGGTGGGAAGTAGAATCAAAGCATCGTGCAAGAAAATCCCGAGCCGAGCCAAGCCAAGCCAAGTCGAGCTAGTGATACAGCGTCCATCGTATGTATACGTTCAAGTAAGCAAGCAAGCGAGCAAACACACATCCTGCACGTCGCGAATAGGTGGGGGTAGGAATATCCAGGGGATGGAGACCGGATCTCCCGCCCTCACACAGCCATGAGTCTATAATGTCTCGTGTCTGCTCAGACAAGCAGCATGGTCCCGCCGACAAGCCCGGACACGAGCGCAACCGCCCACATGCCAAGCGTCGAGCCAAGCATGCCAGAAGACGCCGCGCCGTTCGCGCTAGAGGAGCGATCCGTGCCCGCGCCCGCAGTCGAGCCGCTGATCGTCGCCGCGACGGCGCCAACGGTGGCGGACGGCGCCGAGCCGAGCGCGCCGTTCATCTTGAGCGCGGTGTCGGAGAGCTGCGCGAAGCCGACCGAGGCGGGGCTCGCGCGGAAGACCGAGTAGACGTTCTTGAGGAACGTGTCGCCGATGATCCACGGGGGCGCGCTCGTGCCAGACGTGCTGAGCGCGAAGAACGCGCCGACGCACGTGTCGCGCGAGGCCTGCTCGAGGAGGAAGTCCGCGTTGGAGACGGGCCAGGAGACGCTGCTGGAGCCGAAGCGCAGCGTCACGTTCACGTTCGTGCTGCAGGCTATGGAGGGGTAGGAGTGTGAGTGACAGCTGGAGAATAAGCTTTTGAGTCGGCATGACGTACGATATGTCCAGTACCCCGCGTTCTGGCCGGAGAGCGCTTCACTGCCTGGGATCTGATCGTATAGAGAGGAGATGACGTCCTGAGGGCCACCGACGAGCGTGGTGCCGGTGTCAATGGCTGCGTAGGCTGCCGAGCCGGATCCAACGGAGACCGAGGCCCCGTTAACAGTGAGGCCTGCGCGATGCGCGATGAGGTCATGCGCAGACGCGGAGTATGGTTGTAGACTTACCGCTCAGCTCTTGTATCCAGTAGCCCTCCTGCCCGCCGGGGATATCTTGGTAGTCGATATCCCCAGTAAACAGGGACGTGTTGACAGCACCAAGGTTGAACGTTCCTCCGGGTTCCAGATCCTGTGCGCCGTTCACATCGTTGAAACGCGTTAGCTGGAACGCCATAAGCGGCGAGTCCAGCGTCCCGTCGGTATCCGCGAGCGCCTGCCAGAAGGGCGTCGCCCCTGACGCCGCGATGCTCGAAAACCCGAGGCCCATCAGGCCGGAGACGGGTGAGTTCAGGAGACCTTCTGACGCTTGCGTCACAACACCTGCGCGCCACGGTCAGCAACTGCGGTCCTCGGGTCAAGATGGCCGCAACGCACCAAACACTTGATTGTCGACCTCAAAGCCCGCGAACTGGACAACATCCTTGCCCAGGGTACCACGGGCGGCGCCAGACCCGTAGCTTATTGAGAAGCTAGTGTTGAGGTCGGTAAAAGTAGATGAAGCTGTATGTAGCGTCAGAGTCAATTGTAGAACCATAAAGCATACTTGGGCGAACCTGAGGAGTCGAAAGTGGGTATCCCATCATCGTTGGTTGACACACCATCAGACGCAGCAAGCCATAGATCAGATGATCCAGTGTCGAGTATAACATTGTAAGATATCGCGGGAGTTCCAACGGCGACATTGCCATAAAAGCTAGAGTCTGCGTTCTGGTTCGTGATCCTGTCGGATACGTCTGAACATGAGCTGCACAGGGACAGGCAGGGTGTAGA